ATGCACCTTATTGATGATGGTGTTAGTCTAGTATGATGGTGTAGTAGGTAGATACTCTTCTGATCATCTACACGGGTGGCACATGAGCAACAGTGCATGGTAAGACAGGATGCACCTTATTGATGATGGTGTTGGTCTAGTATGATGGTGTAGTAGATAGATACTCTTCTGATCATCTACAAGGGTGCCACATGAGCAGCAGTGCATGGTAAGACAGGATGTACCTTATTGATGATGGTGTTAGTCTAGTATGATGGTGAAGTAGATAGATACTCTTCTGATCATCTACACGGGAGGCACATGAGCAGCGGTGCATGGTAAGACAGGATGTACCTTATTGATGATGGTGTTAGTCTAGTATGGTGATGTAGTAGATAGATACTCTTCTGATCATCTACACGGGAGGCACATGAGCAGCGGTACATGGTAAGACAGAATGTACATTATTGATGATGGTGTACATGAGAGCAAGGGGTGCATAGTAAGAAGTTTAATACTTGTCTACATTTTCATCTCAATTATCACATTCAGCATGGCATGGAATTAGTGCGTCTTTTTTTTTTATTTGGGAAATTTGGGAAATTTACAAAGAGACCAACGGAAAATGTCCTGATAAATGTTTGCTAACCGCGTTTTGTATTACCTTTCTTCTCAATAATTGCAAGATGAATTTTTTTTAAAATTCAATTATTCACCTCTCCTGATTAATGAACATTTTAACCTGCTTGTTGGAAATCAACACGATCTACTTGGCATATGCGAGTATGCTACTGCATGGGCACCCAGTTCATCATCTTCGGGTTATTATTCACCATAGTTTTCTCTTTTTCCTACAGCTTCTAGAAGTGAAGCCATCCATCAAAGACTGATGCCTCTCTCCAAGAAACAGGGAAGCTACAAGGTTCTCAGTAAACTCAAAGCGTGAGTGTACAACATTAATATTTGTGTTTAGGGAATGCGTTAGGTTTGAACCTTTGAATATGACTGCAGGTATGATAGGGAAGTACTTCTGTCCACAAGAACAAAGCATTACACAATGGAACTCTGACTGTGAATGAAATGTTTCAGTGTAGTCCTTTCAAATGAGACGTCTGCTATATCAATATGGATTACTCATTCTTCAGTAGTCTATTGTTCTTGAAGAAATACTCTCTAACTTAATTACTCTCTACTGATCATGTATTTCATGTCTCTGCCAGCTGTTTTAATAACTGTTGTACCACTCTTACCACTCAGTGTTGTGGAGGAATCCAAGAAAGATGAAAGTCAGGTTGCTTTATTGTCAACCAAACCAAGGTCAGTCACTGTGTTTGACCCACTCTCTCTTACTTATCCTTATCTACTCTAACTTACTCTCATTCTTACCTATAAGACTTTACTAAGAACACCTTACTAGACAAAGCCATACAGTGCAATGCCTTATCATGTCATATTAGACACGTGGTCCATTTGGTAGGTGACACAGTCCATGGGTATACCGTGGTATACAGTATCATGTCATATTATCAGTATGGTAGTACTCTAAGGTGGTCACGTGGTCCATGGGTATACATTGGTATACAGTATCATGTCATATTATCAGTATGGTAGTACTCTAAGGTGGTCACGTGGTCCATGGGTATACAGTGGTATACAGTATCATGTCATATTATCAGTATGGTAGTACTCTAAGGTGGTCACGTGGTCCATGGGTATACATTGGTATACAGTATCATGTCATATTATCAGTATGGTAGTACTCTAAGGTGGTCACGTGGTCCATGGGTATACAGTGGTATACAGTATCATGTCATATTATCAGTATGGTAGTACTCTAAGGTGGTCACGTGGTCCATGGGTATACATTGGTATACAGTATCATGTCATATTATCAGTATGGTAGTATTCTAAGGTGGTCACGTGGTCCATGGGTATACAGTGGTATACAGTATCATGTCATATTATCAGTATGGTAGTACTCTAAGGTGGTCACGTGGTGCATGGGTATACTTTGGTATACAGTATAACCAGTACTATAACTGTACTATAACCTATTATTTCGGTATTATCAGAAATATAACATATCCATACCTTTCTTTTTTTCTTACTCATATTTTCGTACTCTTGAATGCGATTATCACTTACTCATTCTCAAGCGTGCTGACATGATGCTGTAACATAGAGATAACAGGACTAAAGAGCACTGCTTCATATCGTCGTTCGTTCTATCTTTCATTCTATATTCAGCATGACTATCCCATGGCGTTCTTTTTTCTTAAATAATCTTTTCTCAAATAACCGACGCACGATATCAGCTTCCAGGATCCAATACGATCAATCGTACGTCATGACGATCGCAATACTGTACTGTGTGTGTAACGGTAAACTGTGTGCCTTTTTCAGCGATAAAACTGCATCGAGCAGCGGAATGACAGAAGAGCAGTACGTAAAGGAGATTAATTGATTAAGAAACACTTGATAAGTTTAAATAATCATGTTATACCTACCCCATATTGATAGAGCTCTGTTAATTATATCATATCGTGATGTCATGATATGACGTCATTCCCCTGAGTATTATTACTTTACATGACATTAAAAGATATATTCCCAAAAAGTGTGGAAAACCAAGAGAAGCCTATTGAATGTTTTGAAACCCTGTAGCCGGCCAGTGACCCCGCTGGTCGAGTGGTCGTTTTTTATCAGTTTTGTCATGCTAACATTTGTTGATTACTTTGTACTTAGTTTGAAAGAAAACAAGCCAGTTGAAAGTTTCGACAGGTCCAAGCCACTGTTCGATGTAACAGGAACGTTTTACTGGTGTTCTGCCGTCCCATACGAAGAAGCCATACTGGTCAGTACTCACTTTACTATACAATGTCTGTCAAAAAATAAACGGTAGAATTTTCTTATCTTCTGAGTGTTGCTTCATGTCTTTTTCAGACCAAAGAAAAAGCCTACGATATCGTGTTTACACACCACATTTTGGTGTGTGTGTTCAACAAAAAAGATGATCCTCTCATCGGCCTTCGACAACTGGTAAAGATATAATATATTGATCACGATTATGATTATTATGATAGCGATGGTGATAATGAAGATGATAGTGGATGTGGGGATGATGATAGTGGTGGTGGTGGTGGTGGTGGTGGTGGTGGTAATGGTGATGACAGTGTGGTGGTGTTGGTGTTGGTAGTAATGGTGATAGTGGTGTGGTGGTGTGGTTGTGTTGGTAGTAATGGTGATGGCAGTGTGGTGGTGTTGG